TGGTGACAGTGCTGTCCCCAGGAGCTGTTCTGCCGCTCGCTGGCAGAGAACGAGATGCGGACGGCGCCGTACGAGTTCCCCGAGGAGAGCCCGATCGAGCAGCTGGAGGAGCGGCGGCAGCGCCTGGAGCGCCAGATCAGCCAGGACGTCAAGTGAGCGGGGGTCCCGGCCCGGGGGGTTGGGGGTGATGCCCCGCGGGGGTGGGTGCTCCGCGCTGTGTCCCCTCCCCGTGGGTGTGTCGCTGGTGTCCCCTCCCTCCCCGTGAGCTCCTGGCCGGGTTCCATGTGTGCTCTCGGGGGGTTTGTGGCATTAACGGGGTGTTTTCTCTCCCCGGCCCCCCCCCCCCCGCCTTTGTGCCCCCCCCTCCCCCCCCCCCTCCCCCACCAGACTTGAGCCCGACATTTTGCTCAGAGCCAAACAGGACTTCCTGAAAATTGACAGTGCCGCCGACCTACAGTGAGTGTGCGGCCCGGGGACACCCCGGGGACACCCCGGGGACACCCCGGGGACATGGGGGGCTCTGGGGACCCCCCGGCCCCGCCCCTGCCCCGCCCCCCTGCCCAGAGCCCAGGGGTCCATCCCCTCCCCTTGCTGGCACCGAGGGACCCCCACCCCGGGAGGGGTCAGGGGGAGCTGGGGTGGCCCCGGCCCCCCACACTGGCCTGTCCCCCCCCGGGGTCCAGCTGTGTGTCCCCTCCCTCCTGTCTCCGCTTTGGGGTCACGTCTGTCACGAGTTGGTTCGTCCTCTGTCCCTCTGTCCCCCCCACTGCTCGTTGTGCTCGGCAGGGCTGGGGGGTGGCTGGGGGGTGGACATGGGGTGGGGACAGATGTGCACACTGGACATGGGGACACAGGGCGGGCACAGATGTGGCACTGGTCATGAGGACATGGGAAGGGGACACGTGTCACTGGACACTGGGATACTGGGATGGGGACAGATGTGGCACTAGACATGGGGACATTAGGATGGGGACACACGTGTGACTGGACACCAGGACACCAGGGTGGGGACACATGTGTGACTGGACATGTGGCCATGGGATGGGGACACGTGTGTCACTGGGCGTGGGATGGGGACAAACCTGTCACTGGACATGGGGACATGGGGGTGGCGTCAGACTCTGTCACTGGATACTGGGAGCACTGGGATGGGGACAGACCTGTCACTGGACACTGGGATGGGGACAGATGTGTCACTGGACATTGGGATGGGGACAGACCTGTCACTGGACATTGGGATGGGGACAGACCTGTCACTGGACATGGGGACATCGGGATGTGGACACGTGTGTGCCCAGACATGGGGACGTGGGATGGGAACACGTGTGTCACTGGGCATGGGGACACCGGGGTGAGGACAGATGTGGCACTGGGATGGGGACAGATGTGTCACTGGACACATCTGGGGGATGTAAATGGGGACACCAGGGGGGCGTAAGTGGGGACAACAGGGCTGGGGCCAGAGCTGTCCCTGGCTGTGGGCTGGGGCCAGGCCTGTCCCTGTCCCACGCTGGGGACAGAGCCATCAGTGTCCCTGCCCCCGCAGGCTGTTCCAGGAGCAGGGCTCTGACCTGCTGGATCACGTCCCCAAGGAGCGCGAGGCGCTGCTGGAGCGGGAATTCCAGCGGGTCACCATCTCCGGGGAGGAGAAGTGCGGGGTGAGCCCCTCCCCGTGACCCCAAACCCCAAACCCACCGGGGGGGTCTGTGGGGTGAGCCCCTGTCCCCCTGACCCCAAACCCACCCGGGGGAATCTGTGGGGTGAGCCCCTGTCCCTGTGACCCCAAACCCACCCCAGGGGAGTCTGTGGGGTGAACCCCTGTCCCTGTGACCCCAAACCCACCCGCGGGGGTCTGTGGGGTGAGCCCCTCCCCTCCCCATGACCCCAAACCCACCCGAGGGGGGTCTGCAGGGTGAGCCCCTCCCCTCCCAGTGACCCCAAACCCACCCGGGGGGGTCTGTGGGGCCACCAACCCAGCCCGGGGTGTCCCCCCTCGCTGTCCCCTCCCAGGTGCCCTTCACAGACCTGTTGGATGCTGCCAAGAGCGTGGTGAAGGCGCTGCTGCTGCGCCAGAAGTACATGGGGCTGTCACTGCAGAGCTTCTGCCGCACCACGGCCCGGTTCCTGCGGGAATTCTCCGGGAAAAACCCCGAGAGCCGCGCCCACGACGACCCGCCCGAGACCCCCGTGGCTGCTGGTGAGGGTTGAAGGAGTTTGGGGGGGTCTTGGAGAAGGTTTTGGGAGTTTTGGAGGAGTTTTTGGGGTTTTGGAGGAGGTTTTGGGGGGCTCTGGGATAATGCAGAGCTCCCTGAGAAGCCCCTCAGCACCCCCGTGGCTGCTGGTGAGGGCAGGGAGGGGGGCTCGGGGCTGGTGGGGGGGCTGGAGGAGTTTGTGGGGTTTGTGAGGAGTTTTAGGTGTTTTGGAGGAGGTTTTGGGGGTTTGGCAGAGGTTTTGGGGTGCTCTGGGGTGATGTGGAGCTCCCTGAGAAGCCCCTCGACACCCCCGTGGCAGCAGGTGGCTGCAGGGAGGGGGTCTTGGTGCTAGGATGGGGGGCTACAGGAGTTTGTGGGGTTTGGAGTTTCTGGAGGAGTTATTGGAGTCTTTGGAGGGGGTTTTGGGAGTGCTTGGAGGAGGTTTTCGGGTTTTGGAGGAGGTTTTGGGAGTGCTTGGAGGAGGTTTTGGGGTTTTGGAGGAGGTTTTGGGGTGCCCTGGGGGGATGTTGGGTGGCTCCTGGCTTTGCCTGTAGGTGCCCCCTGGTTTTGTGGGTCCACCTGTTCTTGTGGGGGGGCTGCGAGGGTCCCTTCGCTCTCATGGGGGGGCTTTGGGGGTCCCTCTGCTCTTTTGAGGGGGCTGGGAGGGTCCCCTTGATCTTTTTGGGGGATGCTGGGGGGGTCTCTGGGTACAGATGCCTCCGTGCATTGGGGGTCCTCCTGCTCTTTTAGGGGGGCTCTGAGGGTCCCCTTGGCCTTTTTGGGGTGCTGTGGGGATCCCCCTGCTCTCTGTGTGGTGCTGACTGGGAGCTGTGGGGTGCCCCCGTGTTTTGGGGTGCTATGAGGGAGCTGTGGGGTGACGGGGAGGGTCTGTGGGGTGCCCCGGTGTTTTGGGGTACTATGGGATGACAGGGGGGTCTGTAGGGTGCCCCTGTGTTTTGGGGTGCTGTGGGGGAGCTGTGGGGTGACAGGGGGGGTTCTGTGGGGTGCCCCCGTGTTTTGGGGTGCTGTGGGGTGACAGGGGGGGTCTGTGGCCACAGATGCCCCCGTGCACCCCCCCTTTGCTGAGCGACACCCCTACGAGACGTGGGACCCCCGGGAGATGCCCGAGGACCTGGGCTACGGGCTGCGCATGGTGGACGGGGTCGTGCACGTCTACACCAGCCAGGACCCCACGGACAAGTGAGGCCGGGGGGTTTGGGGGTCCCGCTGGGGCTGGGGGGGTCAGGGCTGTGGGACCCCCAGCTGTGTGTGTGTCCCCCCCAGGAGCACCGAGCTGGACCTGCCCTACCCCGACCTGCAGGAGTTCATCGCTGACATGAACTTCCTCATGGCCCTCATCATCAACGGGCCCATGTGAGGGCAAGGGGGGCACGGGGGGCAAAGGGGGGCACTGGGGGGCATAAATGGGAACATCGGGAGACCATAAATGGGGACACCAGGGGGACATAAATGGGGACACTGGGGGGGTCAGAGGTGGGGACACCAGGGGATCATAAATGGGGACACCAGGGGGGCATAAAGGGGAACATCGGGGGAGCATAAATGGGGACACAAGAGGGATGTAAATGGGGACACCAGGGGGGCATAAGTGGGGACAACAGGGGAGCATAAATGGGGACACAAGGGGGATGTAAATGGGGACACCAGGGGGTCACCAGGGAGGCATAAATGGGGACATCAGGGAGGCAAAAATGGGGACATCAGGAGGTCTGGGCTGGGGACAGGGACAGCAGGGCTTTGGGGATGGGGACAGAGAGAGGGACAGAGCCTTGGGTGGGGACAGAACCTCAGGGACAGCCCCGAGGACGGGGTGGCTGCTCCGTCCCCCACACCCACCCCTGGCACCGTGTCCCCTCATCCTGGTGGTCACTGGCCTTTCTGGGCGGGATGTTCTCCCTCCCCAGCCCCAAAGTGACCCCCCCTCCCCTCCCCAAATTAAATCTGGGCAGCAAATCCTTCTGCTACCGGCGGCTGCAGTACCTGAGCAGCAAGTTCCAGATGCACGTGCTGCTCAACGAGATGAAGGAGCTGGCGGCCCAGAAGAAGGTTCCCCACCGGGACTTCTACAACATCCGCAAGGTACCCGTGTGTGTGGAGTTGTTTGGAGTTGGTTTCTTGTCAAGTTTCCTTAGATTACAGCGAAAACTTCTCCTCCCCCTTTGGGCAAAGGAAAAAAAAAATTATAGAAATTGAAAGACTCGAAATCAACTGAGTTATAACGAAATATATATATGTTTACATGTATCACAGCTATATAGAGTTATAATATTATGTATATATAGAGGAGAATCTTAAATAACCCCTCCCGAAGGGGAGGGGAAAAGGGAAAAGGGACAAAAACACAAAAGAAATTCAAAGTAGGTATGTATAATCAATAAAGAATTATTGAATTAGCGAAAGAAAATCTTATTATTCTGCTTGAAATAGTAGAGTTGTGTTAAGTACCGTCGGTACTTTTTGCTTTTTAAGGTTTTCGAGGCCTCACTTCTTCACATGAGCAGGGTTGGCAGTGGAGAACTTGTGTTTTCAGATTCACCGGAAGAGAAGGAGGCAGAGCCTTCTCTTTCCTTCTTATTTATACCTCTGCTTACGTAAAGAACAGCATGGAATACTGGGAACACAGGGCACTTCCCTGCTTACAGGCTGGTCTCCAGGAAGGCCTAGACTGAAACTATCACACTGCGGGGGGGTCCCGGTTCATCCCGGGGGTCCAGGGGGGCTCCAGGGGTCCCCCCGGGCTGATGATTCCAAAAAATCCGGTGTAAAGGGCTGCTCAGAGACTTTTGGATCCGTGAGCAGCAAAGGTGTTTGTTATTGTCAGCACCAGGAGCAGGCTGGGTCACACCACAGAGAACAGGGTTCACACGGACTCAGGGGGTTTGTACACCCTTCAGAGGTGATTAAATGCAGAGGTCAATAATTACCACGAGCCCAGTTTGGAGGCAGGGACTGGAATGGTTTATTGGATTCATGACTTCATCTATAAAGGGTTCATGGTTTACATGTTCAACAGGGGCCTTGCATATTCATGGTATTAAAATTGGGGGGTTTCACAAAGATGAGGTGAGGGGAAAACCCAGGTTAACACATCTGGGGTTCTTAGGAATCACCTGGTGGGGAAAACCCTACTTTGGGGGATTTACAGGGGGGAACAGGTAACACAGAGGGAGAGATAAAACACCAAGGGGTTTGCACGGGTTTGATGAGATCAGGGCATGGTTTCTCCAGGCTTGGGCAGGACATTCTGAACTCGTGACATCCATGGATCCTTGTCTGGACTTTAGATTGAGGTTTTTCCCCTGTCTCTGTCAGCCTGAGGCTTTGTTTAAACTTAGCAGTTTTTCTCATATCCAATTTTTGGAATCCAACAATTAAATACATATTCACATGATTACAACATCTGTCTTTACATATCAATAATAGGAGGAGTGTAGGTGGAGCTTGGGGCAGTGCATCTCTTTGGCACTCAGTTCTGGGGGTACGTCCTGTCCTTCATCACGGGTCTGGGGCCTCTCACTCCTCTTCATCACCTCTCCTTTGTTCTTAACCAGCTTGGAGAAGGCCCTGGCTCCAGGCCTATTCCTCCTGTTCCAATGTCCACCTTATCTTCCTATATCCTCGTTTATCACCCCCAGGCCTGTTGAAAATCGCCTCTAACACTCTTCTAAGTTTTGGTCCAACGAGCAGAACAGCACAAACTCCAGCGACACAAACCCAGTAGATGTCGAGGGGCTCTTTGCAGACCCCAGGCTCTCTCAGTGAACTCTTTGGGGTCTCACTTCTTGTCTCACTGAGGTGGACACCCCCAGCCACGCCCACGCCTCGCCCGCAGGTGGACACCCACATCCACGCCTCGTCCTGCATGAACCAGAAGCACCTCCTGCGCTTCATCAAGAGGGCCATGAAGAGGCACCTGGACGAGATCGTGCACGTGGAGCAGGGCAAGGAGCAGACACTCAAAGAGGTCTTTGAGACCATGAACCTCACGGCCTACGACCTCAGCGTGGACACCCTGGACGTGCACGCGGTACGGGGGGCACCCACCCGGGGGGGAGCAGGGACGGGAGGGGGCTTGGCCAGGGGGGGCTCTGGGGGAGCTCTGCTCTGGGTGGGGAGTGGTGGGTGGTCTCAGGTCCCACCCCACACCCGTGTGCCCCTTCTGGGACTGGGGGGATCTCCAGGGGTGCTGGGGGGCTCTGGGTGTGGTGGGTGGTCTCAGATCCCACCTCACACCCGTGTCGCCCTTCCAGGACCAGGGGGATCTCCAGATGTGCTGAGAGGGGGGCTCTGGAGGAACCCCACTCTGGGTAGGGAGTGGTGGGTGGTCTCAGATCCCACCCCACACCTGTGTGCCCCTTCCAGGACCAGGGGCGTCTCCAGGGGTGCTGAAGGGGGGGGCTCTGGAGGAGCCCTGCTCTTGGTGGGGGGGTGGGGTGTGGTCTCAGATCCCACCTCACACCCACGTGCCCCTTCCAGGACCGGGGGGATCTCCAGGGGTGCTGTGGGGCCTCTGGGGAAGCCCCGCTATGTGTGGGGGGGTGTGGGGTGGTCTCAGCTGTGGGTGGGGGGATGGGAGGTGGTCTCAGCTGCCCTCTGTGTCCCCCCCACCCCCAGGACCGCAACACCTTCCACCGGTTCGACAAGTTCAACGCCAAGTACAACCCGATCGGGGAGTCCATCCTGCGCGAGATCTTCATCAAGACCGACAACCGCGTGGCCGGGAAGTACTTCGCCCACATCATCAAGGTGACACTGCCACCCCTGCCCCTGTGCTGGCAGCAATGCCACCCCTGTCCCCTCCCCTGGGGCCGAGGGTGACGGTGACCACGTGTCCTCCACAGCAGTGCCACCCGTGTTCCCTCCCTGGTGGCCATGGGGTGACAGTGGCCGTGTCTCCCCTCAGGCAGTGCCACCCATGTCCCCTCCTTGGTGGCTGAGGGGTGACAGTGGACACATGTCCCCCCCAGCAATGCCACGTGTCCCTGTCCCAGTGGCCAAGGGGTGATGATGGCCCCGTGTCCCCCCTGTGTCCCCTCTCTGGTGGCTGAGGGGTGACAGTGGACACATTTCCCCCCAGCAACACCACCCATGTCCCTGTCCTGGTGTCTCGGGGGTGACAGTGCCCATGTCCCTGCCATGTCCCCCCCATGGCCAGGGGGTGACAGTGCCCATGTCCCCCCACTGTCTCCTCCCTGGTGGCTGGGTGTGACGGTGCCTGTGTCCCCCAGAGTCCCCACCATGGCTGGGTGTGATGGTGCCTGTGTCCCCCAGTGTCCCCCCCATGGCCAGGAGGTGACGTTGCCCATGTCCCTCCATGTCCAGGGTGACAGTGCCCATGGCCCCGCCATGCTGTGGGCTAAGTGGCCATGTCCCCCGGTGTCCCCACCTTGGCCAGGAGGTGACAGTGTCCCTGTCCCACCATGTCCGGGGTGACAGTGCCCATGTC